CCACCACCACCAGCACCACTACCTTCAATCTCAAGGTGCACTGTGTCAAAGAGGGACAGGGGCCCTCCACAGCCACCACCACCACCAGCACCACCACCTTCACTCTCCCCCAGACTCAGGGTGCACTGTGCCAAGGAGGGACAGGGGCTTAGGCTCAGAGTTTCTCTGACTTGTCTGGATCCTTCCCTAGACACTTCCTGGCTCCCTGACCTTGGAAGAGAGCCGCAACTTCTGTTCTCGCAGCTCTACAGGGAGTGAGCACAGTCCCTCGACATGGCCGATCTGTGTGAGGACCAGGGGGAGAGCATCTCGTCAAATGTCAGGCACACGGAGTCTAAGAACCCGTGTCTCGTGTCACGCACAGCCTCTCTTTCACGGTGGGCTGGAATCGTGGAGGGCACAGCTCCTGTGCTTACCAGACAGCATCACCGGGCTTAGGTGGGAGACTGGGAAACCCGACGTAGGCCCACGGAGAGTCCAATTGACTCGGTGGCAGTGGGATCACCCGTCACCCGCTTCCTCGATCTACCGGAATGCCGTCTTTGAGGAAGGCCTTCTTTCCTTGTGTGTTCCCTTGGCGTCTTGCCACCTCCACTGCTTGAGGGGTTTCAAGTCACCAGATCAGAACGTCACCTGGCTGCTCTGGTCATCACAAGAGCTTTTGCCGGACTTGGTCTCCCCGGCTCTCAGGTTCCCGTGTTTCTCCCACAGCCCTGGCAGGTGGTCCGAGAGCCAAGTGCCCTGGGCTAATGCTCTCAGCTGCAAGTCCTGAGCACCGATCATAGAGCACCAACCAGACCCTGACTGGTCCCTGCGGTGGTGGTCTGTAGGTTTTAAAAAAATCTTTCTTTATTTCTGTAGAGTATCTGAACTTGCTATTATTATTATTTTTTACAATGAACACACATTACTTCTGTTAAACAAACAGGAAAACCCAGGCCTTCCTCACCCCCCACCCCAGGTATTGATCTGAGATGGGCTTTCCTGGCAGAACTGCATTCCACAGGGGAGAGAACGAGAGGGCTTTGACCCACGGTGCACACCCCCACCCCCACCAAGAGGAAAGAGAGGGGGCGGGCAGAGCCTATCTGTGTCTAGGAACGGGGAGGAGCTTCAAATGAGAGGCTCCCAGGGCCAAGAGCCTCTCTTCCTCAGCAGGCAGCCCCTTCATTCTTCTTAAGCATGTGTTGCTCTGTATGGGCGGAAAGGGTGTCCAGGCTTCCGGTTCCCTAAAGAGGCAGGAGTGGCTCCTCAGGACAGAGCAGTCTTTGCTAAGACCCCGAGTCAGTATTCCGGAGCGTGGCCAGCCTGGCAGAGATGCAGCAGAGGGGGAGACCCTGGGGCGACCTGTGAGGGCAGGCTCTCCTGGTCCTTTGTTCGCTCCAGGAAGTGAGCGAGGCTGGCGCCCGCTCTTCTCTTTGTGGTTCCGCCACGGTAGCACCTGTGGCTTCTGCCACACAAGAAACAGCGCAACCCATGCCACCGAGCATGTGCCTTTCTGAGACGTGGAGAGGGCTTTCCAGAGGAGGAGGCATTTGTTCAAAATGACTTTGCTTATTTACATAGGTTTCTAACCACTGATAGCTCGTTGTCCCGCTAGAACAAAAATAACCAAACTCATTGCCTTGGGGCGGGTTCCGACTCCCGGAGGTCCCACAGGACAGAGCAGAATCGCCTCACAGGGTTCCAGGCTGCCCCTCTTCACGCACGCAGACTGCCACCGGGGGTGCCTTGGGGCCGCTCAGAGGTTTGGAGCACGGCGTTTGGGGGACTAGCCGAGCTCTTAGCCTTCTAGCACAAGGATTGGCAAACAGCAAATATTGTAGGCTTTGCAGGTCAACGAGCGTTTGCTGCCACGGCTTTGCTGCTACCCCTACTTCCTGCGGAGGGAGGGCAACCCGTACCATCAGTGGCCATGGCCGTGCTCCGACACAATGGAATTTTCAAAAGCTGGCACTGGGTCATCGCTTCCCAACCTGTGCACTAGCAGTCAGCCCCTTGAAAGCAGGACGCTGGCCTGTTTACCCCCAGATTCCCAGCATTCAGAATGCCGCCTCGTCCAACTAGAAGGTCCTTCCTCCTCCAGCCTCCTCTTTGGTTCTGGAGTCAGACTGATTGGGCTCCAAACAGCTCCGTTACTTATCACCGGAGTGGTCTTGGGCAAGATGCCAAAGCCCTCGGGCCTCAGACCCTCGTGTGTAAGGTGTGTGGTAGCGGTGGGGTGGGTAATGGCATGTACTGGGCAGGACTGCCGTGAGATTGGTGAGAGTCAAGACAGGCTGGGAGTTCCAGGGTGCCAGGCATAAAGTGAGCCCCTGGCACATGCCAGTGTGCACCAGCACTTTCTTTTCTCGTCCATGGCTCTCGTGAGGGGCCAAGATGCTGTTGAAACAATGTGGAGAGGCCTGAGTGTGGGGCCATGGCTCAGACTCATGTGGAGTGGGAAGAATGGGGTCTGCAGGGCAGCACTTACAGCCATTGAGGGACATCTCGTAGCCAGAGGTGTGCAGGGCCTCTCGGCTGCTGGTGGAGCTCCGGGGCGGGGTCCACGTGTCTGCATAGGAGCTGGACCGGGCCTTCATCTCCTCCTTCAGAATCAGTCTGCCAATTCCGCTCTGGAGCTGGGGTGGGGTCGAGGCAAGATGAAGACAGACAGAAGTCAAGATATGGAGCAGACTGGGAAAGGCTGACCCTCGATCGCCAACATCTGCCCTCTTGGCCTTCATTTCAGTTCCCCTCCCCGCTTGCAACATGCACATGTTCTGCTGAAAGCCCCTCTTCCACACATAGACCACTGGGCAATCTGGCCAAGGGCAGAGCCTGGTGGTGGCGATTGGTTCAGGGATGGGCAGGCAACTCCAGCCAGGCCTCAGGATCCTACCCAGGGTTCTTGTCGGCATTGCTGGTAGCCACCCTTTTCATTTAATTGAAGTAATGTTTCTTTATATTGAATAGAAATTCACTATTTGAAACCAAACCATCCAGTGGCATTTAGTGCAGTCACCATCGGATGCAACTCCCGCCCCCCGCCCCCCGTCTCCCAATGAACCAATGAAGCCCTGTATCCATGCAGGAGCCACTGTCCACTCTCCGCACCCCAGCTCCTGGGAACCACGTGTCTCTCTTAGGTCTTTATGGGTTTGCCTATTCTGGGTATTTTGTAGAAACAGAAATCCCACAAAATGGGCTTTGTGTCTGGACTTCTTTTGCTACTCCAGGCTCACACCGGTAGTCGTGTGTATCAGGGCTTCTTCCTTCCTAGCTGAATGATACTCCATTGTGTGCATGGACAGCATTTAATTTATCCAGTTACCTGTTGATGGACACTGGAGTCGTTTCCAGGCTACTATGAGTCGTGTTGTAGTGAACACTGGCGCAGTCTGCATTCAAGTCTTTGGGGATGGAGAGTGGATTGTTGGGTCACATGAGAATTATGTGTTTAATTTTTTGAGGAACTGCCAAACCATTTTCCACAACACTGGCTGCACCATTTTACATTCTCACCAGCAACGGATGGAGGCTGCTCATCCCCACCTGGCCACTACATGAGCAAAACCTGCCTGAGTATGAAGTCGAACAGCAGAAAGTCAGCACAAGAGCCAACTTCCGTAAGGTGGCTTAGTTTTGTTTTAAGCTGCAGGGTCTGGTTACACCTGAAAAGAATCTTACCCTCTGACCATTTAGTTATGTGGAGCCACAGATGTTTTTTTCCTTCCTTAAGCCCGTTTGGCTTTGGTTTCCTCCACTGGCAAATGAAAATCTCCCTGTGACTGACCCTCTTGGTATCTCATGCTGTGCAGTGACCTGCTTGCTCACCTTGTGCATGCTGCGGTCAAAATCCTCCTCCTCTCCTCCGGATGAGAACCTCCTGGCTCGGGGCACTGCCAAGAGACAGAGAGGGTCAGCTCCTGCAGGCACCCCTTCTCAGCCTGCCCTGGGGAGAGGGCAGAGAGGGGCATGGAAGCCTAGGGGTTAAGTCTGGGACTTTAAAGCCTTCTTTTTGACTCTCCCACTCTCTCGGTGAATGACCTTGCACCACTTCCTGTGCACTATGGATAGAGGTCCTTACACTGGGCAGGGCAGCAGTCCTTCCTGTTCTTGGACTGGTACGCTGACTGTCCCAATAGTCAAAGAGCGGCCGTGAGGAGACTCCCTGTCACTGGTGGGAAAGAGAAGTTCTCTTTTTGCCCCAGGTGAGGTGTAAACCTTGGGCCACCTTTCATGGAATGGGCACAAATCTTTTCCAGTGGGTCGACCAGTTTTCAGTCTTCCAAAGGTTTCGGCACAGATGAACGAGTGCTTCCAACACGGCACCCGCTTGTGGAAACACCTCAGTCCATCCGGAGCTCCATTCCTGAAGTCTGGCGTCTCACCAATGCCTCAGTATCACCTGGGCTGCTTCGTTCAGTACCACGGGCTCTTTCTTTTCTGCTGGCATTTTAACAGGCGACAATCAAAGCCAAATACAGCCAAGTGTTGAGGCATCTTCTTCCCCTTCCAAGTTGAGCAGGGACGGCTCCATGGCAGGGCTGTTCTGTGGGCACTCCCTTCCAGACGTCGGCCATCTTTCACTCAGCACGTGCCGTGCGACCGTGCCATGGGGACCTGGAGAGTGCTCCGCCCACAGTCCCAGCTGCGCCTCTGCGTCACCCACAGTGTGCCTGCAGCCACTACCATAGGGTCTTGAGCAAATGCTACCTCTTGAAATGTCTGAATGTTGCCCGATTCTTTCTAGTACAGTGAATCTGTGTATTCTTTCCGCCTTCTTTGGACGCTTTCTGTGTCGTCCGATATTTTGTCCTTAGAATCTTTCAATAGCGATTTTGCTACTCTGGGTTTGAATTTTTCCCTTCAGTTCTTTTAGCTTGAGTAGGTTCCCCTCTTTTGGTTTTCTAACTCCCGGTCTTGTACATCTCATTATAATGCTCTCTTGTGTCCTTAGAAGCAAAGCTAGCTAGTATGTAGTATGACTATGTTATCAGGCGAGAACATATGTTATCATGTAATCTTGAAGAAGGGCATCATGCTCTGTGAAGGTGAGAGCCGATGACCAAGAGGAAGACCCTCAATGAGATGGATTGACCCAGTGGCCGAAGCAAAGGGCTCAAATGTAACCACCGTGAAGACGGGGCTGGAGCAGGCAGGTTCTGTTGTACGTGGGTCAGACGGGGCTGGCGCAGGCAGGTTCTGTTGTACGTGGGTCAGACGGGGCTGGAGCAGGCAGGTTCTGTTGTACGTGGGTCAGACGGGGCTGGAGCAGGCAGGTTCTGTTGTACATGGGTCGGGGTACGTCGGGACCTACTGGAGGCCATCTCACCTGGAGGATACTGGGGCCACCTCTGAGCAGAGGGATCCAGGTCCGAAAGACATCCATTCACCCCTAGATCCAAGTAAGTTTACATAGTTCCAGCACCCCACCCATTCAGGACAGGAGCCAGAACGGTCCCTTTCAGCACAGCCTTGTGGAGCAGCATGTGGAGTTGCTATTTTCTTTTGAAATGGGAACAGCTCTGATGAAGAAACTGCCCGCTCTCTGCTTGGTGGATGTAGCTTCTCAAGGGTCCCGATCATCGTCCGACTTGGCTTATCATTGGGTGTGTTTCACAGCCCCTTCTTGACACGGAGAACTCTTTGAGGGTAAAGAGAGAGACGGGCCATCCCTGTACCTTCCATTAGGCTTTGTTCAGAATGGACACTCAATGAGTAAAGGTGGGTGTTAGATCAATTGCATCTGGATGAAAACGCCTCCCCAGACTTGAAAGGGCAAGTTTGGGTTGTTTGATTGGGTGGGTGGTGCCCTGGGGGCCCACTGAGACCTCCGGCCTCGCCAGGAAGCCCGTGAGCACCTTGCGTCCTCCCACATCCTCTTCGGGCCGCCCTGCACACCGTCTCCCACTCCACAGACACAGCGCCTCTCAAAGTGCAGTCTGATGTGTCACATCGAGGCCTTCCAACTGCTCAGGATGGAGGCCAAAGTCCTCATCCCAAACCACAAGGCTCCGAGGGACTGGGTCCCTTCTCCACCCCTCACGGTCCCTTCTCTGAGCTCTGGACAGGCTGCCGGCCTTTCTTGTCGTTCAGTGGAACCCACCCTCCCATCTTTGACCCCTGCGCCTGCGCTGCCCCCCCCCCCCCCAGACTCTCTGTCCCTAGGACCTCGGGCGGGCCTTGAATACCTGCCTGTCAAATGGATACATGAATGACTGTGAAGGAACAGACAACCCTCTTTTTCAGGCGGTGGGGTCTGGCCCTAGCATCCCTGTGGGGACACGGTACCTTTGGGGGACCCGTGGTAGGGCCAGTACTCAGACTCTGCGGCGTAGGAGGGGTCTGGCGAGTAGGCTGGGCTATACTTGGACGCTTGGCTGATGTCTTCACTTGTCTTGCTCTTGCTGGTGGTGGACAAATCGCCTGCCAAGGACCCAAGGGGAAAACCTGAGCCAGGCCGAGTCCTGGCTGGGCCTGCGAACCCCTGCCCTGCTACGGCCAGGCTCCCGCCTGGACATGCGAAGCCACTCTGTAGTCAGGGACCGCTGGTGGGAGAGTTTGGGACATGGAGAATTTGCCTTCATTTGATCTTTAGGGATCTGAATCCCAGAGGACAGGGCTTGCTGAAGACTACTCAGCAAGTTGTGCAGAGCTAGACCAGATCCTAGAGCAGGGCTCCTTCCACCTACTATTCCGGGACCTTCCAGACTTGCTTCTTCAGGATCACCAAGATCCTGGTCCGGGACCTTCCAGACTTGCTTCTTCAGGATCACCAAGATCCTGGTCCGGGACCTTCCAGACTTGCTTCTTCAGGATCACCAAGATCCTGGAGTAAGGTTGGACAGATCCCTCTGCTCCTACCTTAGGCTCGCGAGTCTAGAAGCCTCATTGTTATGGGTTCGAACTCCACCCTGAGAGGAAATCTCCAGGCAGGGCCGTGCGGAGTCAGTGGAACCTTCTTCTCACACGGAAATGCTACACCCTGATTTGGGGGCTGAGGGTGGGGAGTCACTACATGGCCTGAAGGCAGGTGCACTGGATGGGGACGGATCAACACTTAACTCAGCCACAACGCTGGGCAAACCCCACCCTTCTCTGCCTCAGTCTCCCCATCTGTGAGGTGTCATAGTTGGTTTGCTGGGCTAGACCCAGCTTCAAGCTCCCATCCAATGTCCACTCCATGGGGTTGACCATCGAACCCAACCCAGGCACGCGTACTGACAGGCCATGGCATCTGAGTGGCCCCAGAATGGGTGACAGGTCAGCCAGTGTCGGTAGAAGGCCTGGGGGAACGCATGAGGTGCCACCACCACTTTACAGAAGTGAAGCCAGAGCAGCACAGGGTCCTGAGACAACCGTCCGCCTCCAAGTCCAAGCACCTCTCCTGCCCTGCCCCTCATGGCACTGCCTTCCGATGGCTGCAAATGTTCCTCTGGGATCTGGGTACCGGAAGTCCCTCCCACCCTTAGCTGTGGGCATTTCGCTGGTAGAGAGCCCTCTTCTGCACGCAATCCACCCTCACTGCCCGTATGCAGTCCTGATGCCAACTCTGAATAAAGTGAGATAACCTCTCTGGGAGGGGGTGCCTTTCTGCGTGCCCCCACAGTGGATGTGCACGTGCACTGGCTTACAGACTCCCCACCCAGCCTCTTCCCACACTGGAGGGATTTCCCTGAATGACAGGATCTGAAGCACCCAGAGCTACTCTTTCTGCTTGCCGTGTCACCCTCCTGCCTCACCCGCCAGCTGTCTGTTGTCCCAGCGAAGGTGGCACAGGGCCGAGCTGCTCCTCTAGACTCTAACCCTCAGAGGAAACCCCGGCACCAGTGGCTGTGGAGCCGACGGCGGCTCCAGGTGCGTCAGAGTGGAACTGTGCTCTGCAGGGGTCTCAGGGGCTGGCTTTGGGGAGGCAGACCACCAAGTCTTTCTTCTGATGTGCCTCTGAGACGGCTCAGACTGCCAACCCTCAGGTCCAGGGGTCAAAGCTCCACCCAGGGACGCCACTCCCAAAGGAAGGGAAGTGCTGGCTGAAGGTGGGCTCAGTAAGGACTTTGGGGAGGAACGAACAGGAGGTCCCAGCGCTGAATGAAGCGCTGGTCCCATACCAGTGCAGGTAAGAAGCCAGTTACAGGGGGAGCCATGAGTTGCCTCCTTGGTATTCTTAGTGAAGTCCATCTGGGCAGGGCACCTGCCTCCCTGGTACATCTCTCAGAATGAATACGGGCACCCTCAGCGACTGACTCCTTCTTCTTTCCCCACCTATGCCATGCCCTCTCTGCTCTAAGCCTCCCTCACTCTCAGGGGACCGTGACTGAGGACAGCTTACAGGGGCTGAAGGGTGTTCCCAAGCTAGGCTGGGCTTCAGAATCACCTGGAAAAATGTTGAATGCTGCTGCCCCCCAATACAGACACACCCCCCCCCCAACTGGCCCATAGGGTTTTCATGGTACAGGCTTTATGGAAGCACGTGCCACCTCTTTGGCCCATGAAGCAGCCGATAGTTTAAGATAGTTCAAATGCCCACCTTTTGGTCAACGGCCAAGTGTTTAACCACTGAGCTGCCGTGGCTCTCTGGGGGAAACTGCTACAGACACAAAATTCAGATGCAGGGAATCTGGGCGGGGCAGAGCCATCCATCTGGTAATTCTAATGAACACGAAGGCTGCCTGTCGATGCCTTGGTGTGCGCCTATCCCACGAAGGTGTGCATTTTGCAAGGATGGCTTTGATCATGGCATTTAGGACACCAGGCAGCAGTTAAGGGATTTAGGGGACACAAGCCTTCTTTGCGCCTGTGAAATGACACCGCATTCCTCCCTAATGCCCCCTCCAGTGATTGAGGGGTAGCCGGCAAGGTGATCCTAGCCTCCATCCTCCTCCTCTCCCGTTGCCTGGCCAAGCCCTGTCTGCCTCGGACCGTACCATGCTGCTTGTAGATGGGAGGTCTCCGGTAGATGTTACTTTCTCCAGCTGCCGCACCAGACAAGAGGGGAGGGGTAGGGGTGGGTAGAGCGTTGGATGAGAGGGAGAGAGAGGGAGAAAAGGAGACAGCAGTTGGTCAGTTGATCTCAGGAGAGAGAGAGATCAGCAACTTTCTAACAAAGGTTCCACCCGGCTTTCCTTGGGTGGACTTCCTCTACCAAAGTTGAGCTTTCCCACCTTGTTCCAGGGAGGGGAGAGGAGAGGAATGGATGGATTCATGGCGGGGGAGCAGGGTGGAGAGGCCTTGGGGCATCCCTGGTGGGCATGCAGGCACAGGTGGGCACATGCTAAGCAGGACCCCATGCAGCGCAGGTGCCCACTGCCTCCACCCAGCAGTCTCCCTTAGTCCCTGTGAAAGTCCCCAGGGTGCTGCAGCCCCATTTCAGCACGGTCTCCCTCCACCAAGGGCAGTCAGGAGG